TACAGATGCCAGTAGCATCACCACTCAATTTCGTCAACCAAACATGTCTCTGGACATTGCCAAATGTCCCTTGGGAGACAAAAATTCCTCTTCCTACTTCCCCAGTGAGAACCACTGCTGTAAAAGCAGCTTCCCAGAAGAGGAGGGCAAACAAGGAGGAAAGAGACACACAGGTTAACACTGTCAGGTGGAAGGTGAAAGAGAAGAGTCAGGGAAGGCAGAGGTACCTGCTTGCTTTAGGGGTAGAAAAGGACCTCTTTTAACCCTGAACAGATCACATTCATATCCCTGGAGATTTGATCCAGGAAGCTCCCATATCCTCCTCCTTCACACGGAGGTACACCCCTTCCTATTTTTCTTAATAAGGGCACAATTTCACTCTCTGTAAATATTTATTGATTACTTTTTGTAGACAAGGCACTTTCATGCATCCTTTCCAAACAACTATTCAACAAGCCTGTAAGGTTATTGTTATTACTTAATATTTCATCACTAATAATTAAGTGCAGCCATCATAAGTTGGGCATTCGCCTTGTGCCGCGCACTGTGCTAAGCACCTTACATTTGTATTCTCCCTTAATCCTCCCAACAACTCCATGAGTTTGGTTTCTTTTATCATTATTATTGTATCATTATTATTTTATTATTTATATTTTATTTATTTATTTATCATTTATTATTTTTATCATTATATTAGTTCCTTTTATCATTATTATTTTCATGGTTTGCAAATGAGGAAAATGAGCCTGAGGGTGAATAAATAACTGAACCAGAGGCGCCCAGCTTCATACACTTTTTGGTGAAACAGTGAATGAATTAACAGCTCCTCTTCCTCTGATATCCACAGTAATGTGCAGATGTTGTACAGAAATGTGTGTTGATGTGTAGGTCTCCTCTGCTAGGCTACGACCAGCTTGTGGGGGTAGGGGGGTGGGAGGTGTTCATTAACAGTGGCTTCTGCAGCCTCTGGTACATTCCCTGGTACACACAGTAGGTGTCAAATACATGCTTTCCAAATGAGCAAATGAAGGAGAGTGCTTTGCACGTTTCTAACTTACCTTTATAAACACCCAGCACAAGCCCTGTCCCCATGGTAGGGCTCAGTATGATTGTGTTTTGTTTGAGGGATAAGGGGTAGGAGACATGGAATGGACACAGATCTTTGTAGAACGCTTCTGTTATGTACAGGAAAGCTTCCCTGCAGGGTCACAGTGTCTCAGATAAAACCTGTGGGAATGAGCTCTTGTGTGAAGGCAGGCCAACCCCAGCCCTGGGACTGGATATTGAAAGGCCCTTTCATAACTCCAAGCACAAAGCTCTCTACACCTCTCTCCAAGAAGATAACCCTCACCTTCCTTCTCTAGCTATTTCAAGGTCCAACCAAATGAATTCACTTATTTTCACCTGCAAAAAAAAACACAAAAAACAAAAAAAAGCAAACAAACAAACAAACAAAAACCTCTTTTTGCAAAAAATAAAGAAAGTCACCCCCAAACAAGGCCCAGTAACACCAGCTACTGTGCAGGGTGCTCCCCAGTTTCCCAAACTTTATCTAGCTAAATGATCCCGGTAAGTCTCTAAGGCAGGCACCATTATTGCCCCATTTAGCAGATTAGGAGACTGAGATTCAGGGAGGCTGGGCATTCCCACCTGCCATGCATGAATAGGTTAGCATGGGAGCTACTAGGACTCTAAGCCAGCTCCTCTAACTTCAGAGCCATCTTGTACCTCCACAGGCAAGAGAGAACTCTTGAAGGAGATGAGCTCTTAAACAGTGAGTCTCATCTTTTCCCCTTTGCATCTCAGCCTCTTTGCTCCATTGCCTTACCCTATCTCTTCCTACTCTGCTTCCTTTTTTTTCTCCTATACAAGGCTCTAACACAGATAAAACAGATCGAAACAATCCCTGGTGGCTATTCTGTGAGACAGACGTACACCTTTTTTATGTGACAGCTGCCATAGAAACAAGTATACGCTTTTATCCCCATTCCTTAGATGTGGAAACTGAGGCACAGAGAGGCTAAGTGATTTGCCCTCTATTGCACAGCTGATGAGTGATGGAGCCATATTCCAACCTAGGAGCACTGGGCCCCGTCGTCTGGATGTTAACACTATACTCCATCAGCTACCCCACAGATGGGACTGGTAACCTTTCCAAAAATTATATAATTTAGATGTCTTGTTGATTCCCTGTACTTTCCACTATCACTATTTTTTTTGCAATCAAGTGAAGATTTCAGATCCAACAAGAACAATAAAAATCACTCTCTGAAGCCATAGACCTGTTTCTCCACCCCAATGTGATTCTGTGTCTGGTCTGCAGAATCCACCCAATGACTGCACTCTCTTGGGGTCCTTGGACAAGCTTTTCTTTCATCCTGTTTCCAAACTGGAAACCCACCCAGCCAGCTGCTCCATTTGCAGACCTCAGAAGATGGGCAAATAAAGCTCAGTCTTGTCTCAGCTCTGCCCATCCATCTCCATTCACTTCTGTAGCTCTATGTATTCATTCATTATTCATTCAGTCAACAAATATGTATTGAACAACTATGTTCCAGGTACTGAGGGAGGCATTGGGGATTCAACAGTGAGCAAGACAAACACAGTCTCTCTGCCCTCATGGAACTGATATTTTATTAAGAAAGACGGACAATATGCACCTAAATATATAAATAGAATAATTCTAGATAAAAGCTGCAAAGAAAGTAGACAGAGAGGGAGGCTAGAGAGCGGCTGGGGTTGGGGTGTTGTAGACAAGGTGGTCAGAAGAGGTTTCTTTGAAGAGTTTACATTTGAGCTGAGACCTAAATGACAAAAGGGAGCCAACCGTGTAAGAATCTGAGGGCAGAGGGTAAGCCAAGTGCAAAGGTCTTGAGGTGAGAAAAACGAGGTCTGTGTGAGCCACAGCAGGGGTGGGCGCGAGGTGAGCAGAAACCAATCACAAAGAGCCCTGCAGACCAGGGTGAGGAGTATGGATTTTATTCTAAGTGCAATGGGGAGTTGTTGGAGGGTTAAAAGCAGAATGACAAGATCTGATTTATGATTTTAAAATATAACTTTAGTTATAGTGTGGAGACTAGATTGCAGACGAGGGCAAGGATAGAAGAATCAGGGAGCCCGGTCAGGAGGCTACTGCTATAAAACAGATGAGATGGTAGCTTGGACCAGGGTAATAATGGAGGAGAAGATGAGAAGTAGATGGGTTGGAATATATTTCCAAGGCAGAGCTAACTGAACTTGCTGATGGATTGTGTGCGAGGCAGGAGAGAGAGGAGAAATCAAGGATGACTCCTAACTGTGGGTCTAAGAGATTTTCACATTAAGCTGGTCCCATTCTGCAAAATGCCCACCCAACCCACATGGAATGAGAGCCTCTGACCTCACCATTTTCACTCCTTCCTTTCAAATTTAGGACTTAAACCAAATTCAAGTCTAGTCCACAGTCCATAATGACCAGGGAACTCAATGGGACTGTGCTAAAAAAAAAAAAAAAAAAGGCCGGGCGCGGTGGCTCACGCCTGTAATCCCAGCACTTTGGGAGGCCGAGGCGGGTGGATCACAAGGTCAAGAGATCGAGACCATCCTGGTCAACACGGTGAAACCCCGTCTCTACTAAAACTACAAAAAATTAGCTGGGCATGGTGGTGCGTGCCTGTAATCCCAGCTACTCAGGAGGTTGAGGCAGGAGAATTGCCTGAACCCGGGAGGCGGAGGTTGCGGTGAGCCGAGATCGCGCCATTGCACTCCAGCCTGGGTAACAAGAGTGAAACTCTGTCTCAAAAAAAAAAAAAAAAAAAAAACCCGTTGTAAGCACAAGCAACCATCAGTGCAGCTCAGATATCATGGGTTATTAGAGGAAGCACAGTCTCCAAAGCCAATAAGATCTGGGTTAGAATCACATGCCTTCACAGCATAACTATAAGCAACTTAGCTATTTCTGGGCCTCAGTTTCCCCATGCATAAAATGGGGCCATGATATATATTCACCACTTTTTAGATTTGCAAAGAAAATCAAGGACCCAGAGGTACAGAATGATCACTAAGTAAATGGCTTTTTAACAAAATGTATCCTTCACCCACCCAAGGTCAGGATGTCTCTCCTAACACCATGTAGCTCTGCATTCTGAGGGGGATAGAGGTGCATGGTCCAAAGGAGTGACCACATTTGTCTTAATTAAAGAGCTAAGGGTGTTTGAGTGAAAATATAACAGTCAGGGTCTGGAGGAACTGGAGTGTCACACCCCTAATCCAAAGATACAACACTTTATCACAAATTCTTTGGGTTTGAGAATTCTGGTTCCTCTGCCTTTATGGGCAAATTAGCTCTACACTGTTCAAGTAGGGAGCCAGAGTTATTGTATTCCATTGAACTCACAAGAACCAACCCCCTTCACGTGTATTGGCAATACTAGCAACTGGGCTTAGCTGACACCCCTGCAGTGGGGAGGCCTGGAGGGTGCTGAGAAGACCAAATGAAGATGTGGCCCTAAGGCATCTGGGCTGTCTGGGAGGCAGTGTATCTATGAGATGCCAGAGGAAACGTACAGAGCTCCCTGTGCACTAAAATGGGTGTCCCCCCCCCAGGAGGGAGGAAATATGTGATTTTTTTTCCTTCCTTGCACAAACTTATTTAGGCAAGTACTGCATAATAATTTGAGCAAAGGAACACTCTTGGTTATGCACCATGCCAGGTGTCTAGGTAACACCATGAACATTTAGAAAATTAAGCACCAGATTAACCCTTTTCTACTCAAACTTTCCAAAGGAGTCATTTCCCTCTTACTAACGATCCTGAAGATTGCTGTCCTTTAGGATCTGATCTCTGTCTTAAAGGGTTAAGTCAACTTCACTTCTATCACTTTGGCCCTCACAAGCCATCTTTCTTCACATAGGCAGGTGTCTCAGTCTGTTCGCCACCAATTTCCCACCCCCCCACTCCAGCTCTTATATTTTCTACCCAAGAAGTTAAGATGCCAAGGATATGATATTCCTGAAACTAGAATTTCTAAACCCCTTGCCTCTTTATTGGAATAAATCAAAGGGCAGATTCGTGGCATGTGTTACGGTTAGTTCTATTGTTTTAAATAAGAATTTCCATTTCTTTGGGAGTGGAAATATCCATTTCTCTCTGTTTTAGAGTACAGTTAAACCTTTCTAGCATCATTTAGTTGAGAAGAAAGAAGACACCGTTTTCAATTAATCATTTTGTTCTTTGATATACGTATATACACCTGTGTACAGGGCGCAAGTTCTAAGGTGAGCCCCAGAAAAGGGAAATAAATTCAGGGGAAGGCAACAGTCACGGAGCGAATGGAGCTAGAAGGATTAGTGGTAAATGAGCGGAGGGCTGGTTACTGGAGCCCTTTTGCCCCAGCGGCGACGCAGCCGATTCAGCACCGCGGACAGCTCCTGTCTTTGTCTTGGTCCAAACTCCGGCGCCGCGGCACAGTCGGGCAGCGACCACGGCTCAGTCCTGCCTTCTCCGGCAAACCTGCTCAGGGGAGAAAGAAAGAGAGAGCAGAGCAGAGCAGAGCGGTGGAGATTTTTCTATTCTCTCCCCGCATCCTCCGAACTTGGCCCTAATCCCATCCCACCGCCTCTCAGAGGCCGATTTTAACTCGGTTTCACGGGGACCTGGCTTCTGCCCCTATGGGACTTGGGTGGATGTTGGGGGCTGGGCGAGCGCATTGGTGAGTTCAGAATGGGTTTGGAATTCGTTTCACTGTTACTGCCCGAGGCCCTAGTGGGCCGCGATCTGTCCCCAGACAACGCCTCGCCTTCGACCAAACAAAACAAAACAAACAAACAACAACAAAAAAAAAAGCGGCGATGTCAAACATTTCACGGGTGCGTGTCCGGCGCTGTGACTACGCAAGGACCTCCCCAGACCAGCTGAGCCTCTCTCCAAGAGCCGTAACCTCAAATTCAGGGAACTAGAAAGATGAGAAAGCGTTTCTTCTGTCGCAACCGCGTCCCGGGAAAAATAAAAAATAAAAAACTTGCTGAATTACCTTACAATCAGAACGTATATTCCCCAACCCTGAGCACCGTTTCCACCGCATTTTTTCTCCCTTTCGCCAGGAAAAGCGCCTGGCTCCGAGTTCAAGAAACCTCATTCACAGAGGCTGCTCAAAATGTTTATTTTTTCTGGGTCCGTTCGCAAGAACCAGGATAAAAGGATTCTTCTCACGTTTTACCCTGCCCGAAATCTCGCTTCTTCCAGAGGGTGAAAAATGCTGTGCACGAAGCTCCCTCGCCAAATCTCACACACATACGTAAACAAACACCACACACACACACACACACACACACACACACACACACACACCCCCTCTAGCCCAGATTCAATAGTTACTCGCTTCCTCCAAGCTTTAGGGAAGTAGGCCAGCCTAGCTATGATTTTATTCTCACTGAATTTGTTCCCGAAGTGGGGCTCTAGGGTGGAGGTATTCCTGGGAAAGAAAGTTTAAGAATGAACCCTCCCCAACCCCCCCAACCACGCACGGAAGGCTCTTCTTGCGGTCTGCAAATGCCTTAGGAGGAAAGAAAGACGCTTCTTCGCAGGCTCCCTAAAGCCTGGGGCCCCCACTTGGGCATCGGGCTATAAGGAGCTCACCCCCAACCAATTACCCAGAAGACCCTAAGCTTCTGAGGGCCGATTTGCATTTGCCTCTGAAATAAGATACCTCATCCCACCACCTTCAAAATCATCCCTGAAATTTTTTTTGAAAGGGCACTCTGCCCTTCCCTACCCCTCCCCAAGAAACCTGGGGGAGAAAGGACCCCTTGCACGGTGGGGCAGCTCAGAGGAGTTTTAGTGCGATCCTGCAGTGGTCCCCATGGAGAAGGGTGCCCAGCAGGGTAAACATACTCGCCTTGGAAGGAAGGAGCTGGGGTCGCTTTCCCGGGACCCCTTCTCCCTCCCGGAATCTGCGGCGATGGGCGCCTAGGGGGAGGATGGGCGCCTGGCAGGGTGGGCATGGTCCCCGCCCCCCAGGCCCTCGGCTGCCGGTGTTCAGCCGGGCTGCTTCATAAACCGCCGCTTCCCGATGCAGATTTCCCTTTTAACACCTTCTAAACAAAGGCTAATGAGGCCACTGCATCACTCTATCAACACACAATCATTAGCAAGCGAGAACTACACGCGCGGGCACACACACACACACACACACACACACACAGCGCTAGGGCTGCCAAAGTCGGGCCAATTCTAAAGGAACCCATATTAGGCTAACAAAAAGGAGGTGGGATGTGGAGAGGCGGGAGAGGGGCTGGGGGAGAATGGAGAGAGAGAAGGGGAGAGCGTGTTTCCTTGATGCTGAAAAAAAGGCCAAGAGAAAAGAAAAAGGAAGCAGATGCAGACTGAAACATGGCTGTGCTGGTTGGAGGGAGATCATTAGAAAGTCTGGGGACCCTTATTTTGGAGGATGGGGTCCCTGCAAATCTCTTCCTCTAAGGGCACAGGAGCTGCAGTGGGGCTGCAGGTGTCTTCTTAGAAATAGCTCTCAGGGCCTGGTGCATGGCCGCTACCATCAGATAATCTCAGTGGGGCCAGAGGGGCCAAGACCATGGCCTCCCGTACCACAGCACTGCCTGCCATAAGACCCCAAAGGGCCAGGACCAGCCTCCAGCCCCAACCAGCTATTCGAGATGAAGAGAAGCCAGACAGTGCTTAATGCCCAGCTGGGACCCACTGCTCACCCAGGGCCACTGGCAGCCTGGAATCCAAGCTTCACCCTTAGGGAGGTGGGCTGCTCTGTGCTGAGTAAGGGGCTTTCCCTCTCAGAACAAAAAACGTCAGTGTTTCCCTCACAGTGTTTCCCTCTCCTCTCCTCCTCTCCTCTCCTGTCCTCTCCTCTTCTCTCTCTCCTCTCCTCTCCTCTCTTTCCTCTCCTCTCCTCCTGTCCCTCTCTGGTCCCCAGGGATCAGCCCCAGGTTTCACCCTCCCAGGAACTGAGTGTGTTTTGCCTGGGAAAGGAGCACCCAGCAGGAGAAGGTAGCCAGATAGCACTGGGTGTGGGACCTCTGGGGGAGGGGTGCATGCCAGGCGAGGGGCTTGCAGTAAGGAAGGAGAGAAACCCAGGCCACTACATCTTCAGAGGGACCTCTGAGCTGGCCCGAACTCACCAGTGCACACACTCACTTGGAGCCTGGATCTCAGCCACTGCCCTCTTCACCTGCTCTAACCCCCAAGATCCAGGGCCAGTCCCCTGAGGGGTAGTAGGCCCAGTGGACTTCCACTAGCTGGGGCCACTGATGCTACAGCTCCAGAAGTCGCCTGTCAGGTCCCACAGGCAGCCCCCTTAAAGTTTCAGCCTGAATATTGGCCTGGGGTTGAGTTCGGACTCAGAGCCCTGCTTTCCTATGCTGGGAGGGTGGGAGGTGGATGCAGAGGAAGATTGGGCAGGGAGTAAACTTGGAAAGGGGTGCCATTGTTTAATTCCCATTTTCTGCAGCTCTCCAAAGGAAGGAAGAAGGGAGGGAGGGAGGAAGGGAAAGCAAGCAAGGAAGGAACCAAGGAAGAAAGGAGCCAAGGAAAGAAGAAACCGAGGAAAGAAGGAGGAAGGAAGAAAGGGAGGGAGGGAGGGAGGGAGGGAAGACTTAGAGAAGGAGGGAGGGAATGACAAAGGGAGGAGAGAAGGGAGGGAGGAGAGAAGGGAGGGAGAGGAGAAATTCCCTGCCTTTTTGATTAAACGTCCCGGGTCGGGCCTGCCCAGTTAACGAGACCGTTAATTAAGCCGAGCACGATTCAACTGACAGGAAGGCCCTGCGCCCCGCAGAGATGTTCTGGAAACCAAGTAGTCCAAGGCCCAGCGCCAGTGGGGCACACCAGCCGCGACGCCCCGCCTCTCCGGCTTCCACGCGGGCCAGGACACTCTCACCGCCTGGGCTCCGGGACCCTCTGAGCCGGCCACCCTGAGGGTTCCCAGAAAATGCACCCACCCCCTCCCCACCCACCCCACTCCCGCCCCCGCCATGCCTCTCGCATCCCTGCCCGGGTGTCTAGGCCTTAGTACCCATCACAGCCCGCCGGCGTCCACTTTGGCCCGCATGGGCTCACTCGCTCTCGAGGTTCTTGGGCAAACCCGAATTGCGGAGGCCAGAGGCTGGCCTCGCTGGGTCTCGCCGGAGCGCCACACCAGCCGCTCTCCTAGGGCCTCTAGGCGGCGGGGCCCAGCCTTCACGCCCGCTCCTACTCGGGGGCCCGATTCCTTCCGGCAGCGGGCGGTGCGCTGCGGCGCTGCGGGGCGCTGAGTGTGTGTGCGAGGCGCGGCCTATATTTACACCCCAAACAAAATAATTACACTTTTGTCGGAGGGAGAAAGCCAGTGATTAGGCGTAGGCTCTTTGCGGCAAAACAGTTTCTCAGTGGTACACCAGTATAATTTTTCACGGCTGGCTGAAATCAAAGAGGGGAGGTAATGAATCCGGCGAGCAATTTAAATTTACAATTTGTAACGCCGCCGCAGCCGCCGCGCAGACCCGGCCGAGAGCGCAGCTCGGAGGCGCTCGCTGCGTTTGTTTAATGTTAAAGCTGCGCTGGCTCTTGGAGGTGGGGTGGGGGGAGTATGCGTGTTGGGGATAGAAGCGGTAATGATCGAAGTCGGGAGAGAACGGGCTGGGTCGCTCAAGATGCCACCAGGAGAAGTGGGCAAAGGGCAGGCCTCTCCCGTCCCCCTAGCCACCCAGGCCCCCAGCACTTCCCAAAAAAGCCGTTCGAAGAGAGGGGAGCCAGGAGAGACACTGGCCTCCAGAGAAGCCCCCCTTTTCTGCTTGGCTGCAGAATCTCCCAGGCCGGAGACTTCCGGTGAAGAATAGCAAGGTGCAAGTGAAACGACCTCTTCAACCCGCGGGAGGGTCGGCTCCAAACGTCCGGAAAAGCCCTCATTCCGGCCGCTGCCCAGTTTCCCCGGATAAAGAAGTCGAGAGAGGTACCCCCCACACCCCAGCTCAGCGATCCTCAAAAGTCCCACCCCGGCTAGTGTGCGCCTCCTCGCCCGTAATTAATTACCGAACTCAAGGGGGAATATGCAAACCGCATATTACTAACTCTACAGGGCTTAAGTGATTGGAAACAGATTATTATCTTGTTTGTCTTTTGTCTGTTTTACTTATCCCGCCGCCGTCTGTTGAGTTGTAATGTTGATACTCTTTACTCTAGGAGGAAGATTTTTATATAGTAAATTCCATCAACAGCTTGTATAAGTGACATTGCGTCTCCATGCATTACCCTGTTAAGACACAAGCGGTTTATTAGTTACATATAGGAGGGGATTTTGCTGCCTGGTCGCCATCTGTTAGGGCTTTTAGGGCGGGAATCGTCTAATAGCTGGTCTGCTGGCATTTTCCGATCCTGTGCACCGGGAAGGAGGTGGGCTAGAGAAGGCCGGGTGGGTTCTGGGCAGCTTGGCTGGCCCCAGGTCCAGGGAGTTCTAGAATTGAGGCTGAGCTGTGAGGCTCCCAAGACAACTCTGAGGGGCTGCAGCAAGGGCAGGTAAGTTCCCCTACAAGAAATGGAAGGTCAGACCAGGGCTTCTCGAAGCAGAGTCCTCATCTCCTGCAACCAAACATTCAGCCTCAGGTAACCCACGCTCATCCCTACTCAGGGCTGCTCTCATCTTGTTCCCTCTTCCTTCGACCTCCCTGGCCAGCCACATGGTGGCTGGGGCCTGGCTGTGCATTGAAGCTCTCTTGGAAAGAAGGACAAGTGGGTCTGTCCAAGAGTCTGACACAGCTGGGTACGCAGGGCCCCAGCCACCATCATCAGGTGGGCAAAGCCAGGACTGGGAACACACACCAGACAGGGCACTTTGGATATTTTGTGGGGTTTGGGAAAGAACGGGTTCAGTGTGCCTAGTCTGGAGTAGAGAAGAAAGCTATCGGATGGAGGTTTTTAATGATCATGGAGTACGTGGTGGGGGTGCAAGTGTTTCCCCCACACCCCAAAATCTGCACAATGGACAATAAGGAGCATTCATCTCAGCACTGAGTCGGATGCTGGATTTGGAAGCTCCAGCAGAGAGGCCAGGAGAGGAGAACAAAAAGAAAGAAATGAAGAAAGAAAGTGAGGGAAAACCAAGAGAAAATGAAACAGAAACAGAACAGATTCTGAGCATAACAGAAAAATGGAGACAGAAAGGAAAACTGAGACATGGCAGGAACTCGGGAGAGACAGAAAAAGCCAGTGAGACAAAGACAGAGAAGGCAGCGCGATTTGCCTCTGCCGGGAGCCTGAGCACCTCTCTCCTCTCTAGGTTCTTATTTCTTTCCATCTCTGCCCTGCCAGAGCTCAAGGATCCTTTATGCCCCAGGCAGGCAGGGCCAACTGCTGCCAGAAACTGCAGTTTCATCTGGAGTCTCTCCTGGCCGAGCCTAGGAGGCCAAGTGAGATTCATCCTGCCTGTTCCTGGTTGAGGTGGGGTCTAACCAGCCTTACTACAATGCTCTGTAGACGCCTGTCCCCTGAAAAGCTAGCGGGTCAGGTAACAGCACCAACAAGCAGAAGTTGCCTGGGTTAGGGATTCCTTTTCCAGCGGACTGTCACCAGCACCATCAATTCCCTGTCCCGAGCGACACCACCTCCCTTAGAGACTGTGGGGAACAGTGTGGGGGACAGGTCTGAAGAGGAATGGGGACAAGTGGGCATCCCTGAGCCCCAACACAGGTACCCACAAATCCTGTTCCCTCAAGCTCTGAATCCACAAAGGTAAGTGCTGCTAGGAGTACATACACAAACACAAATACAAACATAACCCCCACACACACACACAAAGCCTACAGGAGTGGAATAAACAAAAAACTACTCTTTACACTAATACACATGTGTGCAGGCACACACACACAGACTGGCACACAAACATAGATCTTCAAAATTCTGCACTCACAAACACACCCAGGTCAGTCTCATACACACAGGGTCTCAAGCACACATGCCCTTGCCTACACACAAACACACGCATTCAGATTGTTTAAAGTACACCTTCACATCAATGCTTACAAACATAGACACAAATACTCTTATGTGAATGCATGCATACACATGAAAACACCCTTACATTCATGGGTCCTCAAATAAGCATACAGACATAGGCACAGACCAACGAAAATAAAGTGCACACGGTAATGAACACAAACATTAGCAGAACCATACACAATTATAAACACACATATCCACACAAAAAAATGCACACGCAGAAATGTACTCACAGGACTGATACTAACACGATAGACACAAAAAATGGAATTCTCAAACAGTGAGCATACACTAACAAGCTCAGGAACTACGCCCAAACAAACGTTCAAAGCCAAGCGTCGGCACAAACCCCTCTAGCTTCAGCCCCTGGGGCCAGGCCCTGCACCCTCAGCCACCTTTCCAGAAGCGAAACGAAAATCCTGGTTGCGCATTCCCGGCCTCCCCAACTTGGAGCCCTGGTGGCCACGCTGGCCCCGAGGGAAAGGAGGCCTGGTCCTTTCTCCCTCTCAGACCCACACACCCCCGCCTCACACACACCTGCCAGCAGCCCCCCCACCCCGCCCCCACTTAACACACACACACTATCTCTCTTCACACTGGGCCCCCTGCCGAGCACAGAACACACGTGCGCAGCTTCTCGAGCCTCCAAGGAGCAGACGAACTTGCACACCAGCCCGAACGGCGTGAATGCAAACAGTGTTCACACAGTCACTGGTGTCCCCGCCTCAGCGGTGCGACCCACTCACCACAGTACCCCGACAGGCTGACCTGGAATCTGGAAGGCGCAGCGAGGAAAGGAGAGACGTGGTGAGTGCCACCTCCGAGCTGTCTGCGGGAAGACCCGTCCACCCTGAATCTCCCACTGTCCACATCTCCCTCAGAGCCCGGTGAGCAGCGCACTCAGGCCTGAAACTCTGGAGTTCGAGACCAAGCCAAATGGCACCCCTCCTCCTCCCCCACCTCCCCAATCTGGGCCTGGGACTGGGCCCGGGCTCGGCGGCCAGGCGGAAAAAACTACCCAAGCTGAGCAGCCTGCACTAGCTAGCTCTCTCCATGAGAAAGGTCCGGCTGGGCCCCAGCCCCGTGTATGACAAAAAGAAGCCGGGGCCAGCTCCGCGAGCCGGGGGAACCGCGCTGACGCAGCTTCAGGGCTCGGAGGGGGCGCGGGGTGGGGGAATCCAATCTGGACTGGCTGGGCTGGAGAAGGGGAGGCAGGTGTGGGGCGTGGGGCAACTTCTGCAAGTTCCGGGTACGACGAAGGGGGCAGGGGTACCTCCCGGACTAGGCCTCGGAACCCCTGACCCCCAAACATTTTGTGAGGAGAGAGAGAGGAAGAGAGACGCAGTTTTTGCATCGCGCAGCCCCCTCCCCCTCAGGCCCAAACTGGAAGGTAAATACTTACTTAGCCTCCGAACCAGGTACAAGCTAATACTCAACAATACTGATGCCTTGTTTTTTTTGCTCTGTCCGGACCGCAACGCTGTAGCCAATTTAGATATGCTATAAATTTAAGAGGTTGCCATGGCCACGGTGCGCCCATTGGCCGACGGGCCCCCTACGTGCCGCGCCACGTCACCAAATCTGAATAAGGATGCGCGAATTACGCGGCGACCAGACAAAGATGAGGATCGGGACCGCTTGAAAGTGGGGGAAAGTGCCGGCGCCTCCGCCACCGGGGAAAGCCGCTCCGCAGCGCTGAGGCCAGCAGCCACTCGAGATACCTGGGGAAGCCCGGAACAGGCGCCGGGGCCTGCGGCCGGTGGCATGAGGTTGTGAACGCCACCACCCCCCACCCCACTCCGGGCCGCCCAGTGCCAGGCCAGCGATTGCCCAAGGACTTGACTGGCTGAGTCTTGGTCCGGACCAGACTCGCCCTGTAGCTGCTGAGACAAGAGGCGGAGGGCAGCGGAGGGCCCGGCAGGCCTGAGGGCCAGGGGCCCAAAGGGAGGGCAAGGCGGCCGGAGCCGCCGGGACGCGGGGCTATGATGGTGCACTGTGCCGGTTGCGAGCGGCCCATCCTCGACCGCTTTCTGCTGAACGTGCTGGACCGCGCGTGGCACATTAAATGTGTTCAGTGCTGCGAGTGCAAAACCAATCTTTCGGAGAAGTGCTTCTCGCGCGAGGGCAAGCTCTACTGCAAAAATGACTTCTTCAGGTAAGAGGCCGCACCGCTGCTGCCTGCGCGCTCACCCTGCGCGCACTCCACTGGGGCGCCGGGGAAGGGGAGACCCCCATACCCATCCCAGCCTCCCCTCATAACAGGCTTAGATGGGGGGCGGGCAGCACTTTGCTCTCCTCCTGTTCTCGGCCCAGGAAAGGTCCCGAGCCCAGGCGGAGGAAGAAGGACGCTGCTTTGCTGCTTCACGTTCTCTGGAGGCCGACTCAGAGCGCTGGCGGGGCAGAGGGAGGAAGCCCTGACAAACTTGCTCTCCACCCCTCTCTGCCCCTTCCCAGCGACTGCAACCCCAAGACAGAAGCTTCAAGCCCCGTCCCGACTGAGGGGAAGGATTTTTGCCTGAGTTAGAGACGCCTGGAGGCTTTTGGCTCCAGGCAGAACGTGTGAGCCGAGCAGCCGGCAGCAATCCCAAACGGAAACTTCTCAGCTCCAGAGGGGGTCCAGTGAGGAAGGTCTCCCTGGTGATGGGAGGAGAATACCTCCCCCTACTCACCTCCCAACCCCTTAAACATTTCCTCCCGTGTTGAAAAGCAGAAACGAAATAGAGGCTGACAATCAGGACCTCTGGGGCCTAGACTGGGCTGTGGCGCCTCCCCCACCCCACCCGTGTGAGCCCACCGGCTGGCCAGGGCAGATCACCTCTCTGGGCCTCAGTTTCCCCAGTCTGGAAGCCAGTGGGGTTTGGGGCAGCTGAGCCCTGCCTGTTTCCCCTGGGCACCCAGAGCCAGCTTTGTGAACAGGAATTCCCCGCGCTGAGGAAGGGGGGCGTGAATCACACCGTAGAGAAAGGCAGCCTGCCGGCCCTGGCGACTCCGCACTGGGAATTTGAATAGGAGAAAATGTCAGCCGCTCCTTTACACGTGTAAACTCCCTGGCCCCGGAGGCCCGGTGCCCCTAATGTAGCAGTGCTTGCAAAGCGCCTAATGATTTTTGATAAGGTGCATATGGCCAATTACGCTGCCGGATAAGGCCAAAAGTGACTTACGGCTTCTAATGCCCTCACTACATCAATGTCACCCAAATTCGCCCTGTTTAGAGGCATGGGTGTGAGTAGATGTGGGGTCCCCAGAGTACTGAGTCCTCCCCCACTTCACCCCCAACCTGAGCCTCACCCATCTCCCATTTCGGGGGAGGCTAGCTTTCTCCCTGAGCTCAAAGAAGAAAGAAAAGGAATGAGATCAGGAACGCGGGAAGGAGGGATTTGAGAGATTCCTGTCCTGGCTGAGCAGGGTCTACAATTGTCTTCTATTCACATTCCCCTGCTGCCTGCCAGGCTAGAGGTTTAGTGGAGCCGAAACTCAGTCCCTGCTCTCTAGATCTGCCACTATGAGGCCCTGCTGTCCACAGCTCCTGATTAGCTCCAGCGGGTCCCAGAGTGGTGGATTGGAAAGCCTCTCCATTGGTACTGGAAATCAGTGGAAGATTCCCTCCTTTCTGCTTCCTCCTTCCAGCCTGGGAGAAGGGCACCCCACCTCACAGCTAGGCTCAGCCAGGCAGGCAGATTGGCCCTACCTAGGCACCAGCAGACCACAAAGGATCCAGGAGGCAAAACCACCAAGTGACCCAAACCCTGCCCGCCTGGCTTCAAATCATTCCTGGGCTCAGAGTTTGCCTGAAGCAGCCGAGGCAGGCCTGGCAGGGGTTGGGTTTGGGGGAGGACATCTTGAGATGCTCTGGGCTCTCTGCTTGGCTGAAGACTGCACCCACTGCTCCCCGCTTCCCAGCCCAGGAGAGTCTGAAAAAACCCCAATGGAGGCATAGGAGTCTCAGACCCCAAAAACAGCTCAGGACATTTGTCCCACTTCTCCTGCTCTGGCCAGAGAGCTCAGGATTGGAGTTCCGTTTAACAGATATGGAAATGGGGACTTCACAGAAGCCAGGTTGAGGGTGGGGGAAGAGGTCAGGGGCTGGGGACGGCTGGACTGGGTCCCACCCTGCAGTGACGGGCACCTTGTGTCCACAGGCGCTTTGGCACCAAATGCGCCGGCTGCGCACAAGGCATCTCGCCCAGCGACCTGGTGCGCAAGGCCCGGAGCAAAGTCTTTCACCTCAACTGTTTCACCTGCATGGTGTGTAACAAGCAGCTGTCCACTGGCGAGGAGCTGTACGTCATCGACGAGAACAAGTTCGTGTGCAAAGATGACTACCTGAGCTCATCCAGCCTCAAGGAGGGCAGCCTCAACTCAGGTAGGAAGGCCTCCGCCCCTCACTGGCCTTAGGCCTTAACACCCTCCCTCCGTGCCCAGCCTGGCACTCCCTACTTGGCCCCCTGTGTGCTGTCTGTGCTGGGCTTAGAGCTCATTACCCCCAGGCAGCTCTAAGGCAAGGCCGGGGGTGAGAGGCTAGAGAAGTGGCTTTGGAGCCGGTTTTACAGGGGAGCTGAGGGCCACCAGCTCTTCCCCACCCTCCTCCAATTCAGGAGCCTTTTCCAAGTTTCCTTCCTCCCTTAATTTGGCACCACACAATTCACCCTCCTGTGTCATCTGAGCTCCAGGTAATTTCTAGAGGCACTGGGAGCACATTAATTGAGGTCTGGAGAAAGGAGGGAAGGGAGAGGAAGATCCGAGGCCCCAAGGGAATCTGTGCCTCCTCATCCCCTCTCCCTGAAGGCGGGAGTTCTCCAGAGGGCATGCCTACCCCCACCCTTACTCAGGTACTAGCTGAGACGCGCGGAGAGGGCTAAAGAAGAGCCCCTTCCAAAGTACGGGCCCCGCCTGGAGAGAGTGGGCGGGCACCGGGTCCCTGGGGGAGGGGCTGTCGCAGGCTTGGGAGGTAACCCAGCGGGGCCGGCCGTAGCCTGGGCCGGCGGGAACCCGCCACTGGATTGAAGAGGCGTCTGGCGGTCGCTGACGCCGCTGTCGTCCCCTTCCCGATCCGTCCGCCCGCAGTGTCATCCTGTACGGACCGCAGTTTGTCCCCGGACCTCCAGGACGCACTGCAGGACGACCCCAAGGAGACGGACAACTCGACCTCGTCGGACAAGGAAACGGCCAACAACGAGAACGAGGAGCAGAACTCGGGCACCAAGCGGCGCGGTCCCCGCACCACCATCAAGGCCAAGCAGCTGGAGACGCTCAAGGCTGCCTTCGCCGCCACGCCCAAGCCCACGCGCCACATCCGCGAGCAGCTGGCGCAGGAGACCGGCCTCAACATGCGCGTCATCCAGGTGCGGCCCGGGGCCCGCTGGCCCTGGAGCCGGGAGCCTCAGAGGAGTCTCCCGCCAAGCTTCCTTGGCTACGGGCGCGCCGGGTTCTTGTCTGGGAGCAGACCGTGCGCCCGAGGCCGGGGAGCTCGGGACACTCGCCAGAGGTCGGGGACTGTGAGCCGAAAGATTCCATCTAGCCCAGCTGTCCTCCTGGCTGTGCGATTTGGGGCGGATCGCTTTACTTCCCTGAATTTCGCGGCCGCCCTGCCCACACCCCCGCCCCCCGCCTTGCTCAAGGAAGGTTGTAAGCCACTCTGGGGTCCGGGATGCCTGTTTACCTCCCACGTTTTGAGCAGAGAAAGAGGCGATTCCCCCTCCCTCCCTGCGCCGAAGCGCGGGCAGATAAACGGCCCGAAGCCGGCTCTGGAGCCGAGCGGCTGAGGCGAGAGCCGTGCCGGGAGGGAGACCTTTATAGAGCCGTCAGGCCGTGGGCGAGCCGACGGCCAGGAAGCCCAAGTCTTTATGAGTTGCCCCACGGGTCCGCGAAATCCTTCACCCTTGGCTGGCTCTCCACCCCTCCCGGCCTAATCCAGCCCGGCCCCGCCTCAGGGCAGTCTTGGTGCGGCAGAGGCGCAAGGACCCAGAGGGGGCAGCCCAGGCAAGGGATGGAGGAGAGGGGAGGACACTCCGGACCCGGAGCTCACAGCCCCCTCCTCTGTCCCAGGTGTGGTTTCAGAACCGACGGTCCAAAGAACGCCGGATGAAACAGCTGAGCGCCCTGGGCGCCCGGAGACACGCCTTCTTCCGGAGTCCGCGGCGCATGCGTCCTCTGGGCGGCCGCTTGGACGAGTCTGAGATGTTGGGGTCCACCCCGTACACCTACTACGGAGGTAAGGGGCGCCCCGGGATGCGCTGCTCCGCACCTGCCCCGTTCTGGGAGCTGAGGGCTCAGGGCCCCAACCAGCGCGCTTTCCGCCGCTCCGGGACATCGCCCACTCGCTGGACGCAATCACAGACACACGTACACTCACCCACACGTTCTGGACACAAAATCAGATACATGGACTCACCCATTCAGTGATCACACGGAAGCACACACGAGATACAGTGACACACTCGCCCTCACCCACGCAGGGCACAAGGCACACTCACACTTGCGTTCAGAGACTGCAGGG